TCATTTTATTTTTAAAATTAGTTTGATATATATCTATATCTTTGCTAGAGTCCTCGGATGAAAAGAATTCTTATATCAATCTGATATCTTTTACACGATTTAACTCTATATTGAATTCAAATTACTTATTTCTAGATAAATTATAAATATCAACAAATGTATATAAATAAATAAATAAATGATAAATGCACTTTTTTTTCCCCTTAAACTAAATTACGTAAATTCCCATTATACTTCATTTTCAAAAAGTGTTGCAAGGACAATAATGTCCTCTTATATTTAACGTGTTGGGCATCTATTAAAAAGGATTGCATTTATTATCTCTCAAAAAAATAAAAAAAAATAACATTCAAAATTTGCTTAGCTGTTCGATTTTTCTTTTATGTTTTTTATTTTCTAAATTGAAGCTCTTTATATTGAATAGGGGTGTCAATATTTGACACGACACGAACTAAGGAGGTTTGGATTTAGACTAATCGTATTCGTTTCATAATCGTGTCAACATGGATTGATCCGCTAATTAAATGTGTCATGTACATAGTTGACCCAATAAATACGATTATGATACGATTAACCCAATTAACTAAACGTATCAGATAAACGTGTCGTATAAAAAATGATACATTTAAACAAACATGTAGAATAAATATGTCGTCTTCCGGTAAAAAATGACTTAAATATATCTTTTCATATCGTGTCAAATTGTTATCCTAGATTATAACCAATCAACTCGTCATGTGATCCTTATAAGTTTATTATGTTACTTGACTCTAAATTTCTTGGAAATGAGATCGAAATGAATACTCTGAACCATCCGATTATATATCCTAAACCCAATGCGAGGTCCATTAAGTGGATGATCAAATATGGTTTGCACAGGACAAATTGAATTTAATACGGTGTCACATTGTGGTTGGCATTTGCTAATTTAATTTTGTTTGCGTTAGTGGGGCTTTGTATGAAATATGAGAGTATATTTAAGTGAAGTTTTTTTATTAGTACTAATCTAGATGAAGATGAAGGGTTTTTTTTAAGTACTAATCTATGCGAGGTTTATCAAGGTGTGACATGTCCGTATAGTTTTTTTACTTAGACCCTGTTTGGCGATAACTTTTCTTCTGTATTTTTGTAAGTTTTACTATTTGTTACAATTTAAATAATACCAAAATATTTCCAAAAAAAAGCCAAGCCAAAAGCATCAAATTTGTATTTCCAATTGCTTCTACATTTTAGCGATGAACCATAATAATAATAATAATAATAAATTAATTAAATGATATTTTTAACTAATTATTTTATTTTTTCAAACTTGCAAAACTTGTATACCAAACATGTTTTCATGTTCAACAAATTTTATATTACCAAGCGTGCTTAATGAATCAAAATAAAAATGCAAAGTAAAAGTGTTTTCTAAATAGAGCTTTGACCAGTAAAAGCCTTCCTAGCCATTATAATTCTCATTCTTAATTTCTATTAAGAATTGAAAAATGATTCTCAAACAGATTTTTTAAAACGTATTTGTCTAGATAAAGAATTTTTATTCCTTTAATCTATCTATTTATTATATCAAATGGATAAAAATTCAAACAAATAGATTTGAAAAAAATTGACCTAAATAGTATTACTCTTACAATGTGCATGCAGGAGCCACATAGAAATGGAGAAGCGATTCAAAGTGTGGACTTACAAAGAAGGAGAGCCACCCATCTTCCACAGTGGTCCGATGAACGACATCTACTCCATCGAGGGACAGTTGATCGATGAACTGGAGAGCGACAAAAGCCCATTCCTTGCTCGCCACCCCGACGAGGCACTCGGATTCTTCCTCCCTGTCAGCATTGTCAATATCGTCAAATTCGTTTACAGGCCTTACACCAATTTCTCTCGCGATCGTCTGCAGAACATTGTCGTGGACCACATTGGCACTGTGTCCACCAAATATCCATACTGGAACAGAAGCAATGGGGCTGATCATTTCCTTGTTTCTTGCCATGATTGGGTACGTACCTATATATTACATTAATCTTTAATTTCTTCGTAATTATGATGTTGTATGTGACTATTGACGGACTCATGAATTTTTTTGAGAGGGGGCGCTGGTGAAGAATTAAAAAAATTAAAGATAATTTTTTAAAATAAAATGATAAATATAAAATTTTATTTTTTGTGACATGTCTGATTTAGATTTTTTGATATTTTAACCGTATCATCTAAAACGCAAGAATATATATAGTGAATATTTTAAAAAATTGAGTGAGAATATCTAACTGTGTGAGAGAGAATCATGAATGTGGCGGGCGATAGAGTTAAAAAATATGGTTATCTTTTGAATTCAAAAATCACTGGATGACAAGAATGTAAAATGTGGTATTTTTATTAAATAAGAGGAGATATTTTTTTAAAAAATTACAAATTGAGTGGGGGCGTTTTCAAAATTTTAACAAAAATTATAACTAATAATGCAAATAGTAAAAAATTCAGTAGGGGCGGACGCCCCCACCGCTCCTTAACGATTAAGGTCCGTAAATGTGTTCTGAAAATTGTGAGAACGTGAAGCTGGTCCAACTGACCGCTTATGCTACAAGACATGTCTACACATGTACAACTCTCTCCCCTCTCTCTGAGAATGTGGGACGTCACTCTTGAGATCGAGATCCAATATTGATTTTTTTTTTCAGGCACCAGATGTTTCAACTGCCAACCCTAAGTTATTCAAAAACTTCATCAGGGTTCTATGCAATGCTGACACTTCTGAAGGATTTAAACCCATGAGAGATGTCTCCTTGCCAGAAATCAAGATCCCATATGGAGAATTAGGGCCACCCCACCTTGGTGAAGCCCCTAACAACCGTAGGATCCTCGCCTTCTTTGCAGGTGGTGACCATGGTGACGTAAGAAAAATACTATTCAAATACTGGAAAGACAAAGACAAGGATGTCCAAGTTCACCAATACCTGCCCGAAACCCTAAATTACTTCGAGTTGATGAGCGGAACCAAGTTTTGCTTGTGCCTGGGTGGATATGAAGTCGCAAGCCCTAGGGTTGTGGAATCCATATACACCGGGTGTGTCCCGGTGATTATTTCAGATAGTTATGTGCTGCCATTCAGTGATGTTCTTGATTGGAGCCAGTTTTCCGTTCATATTCCGCTTTCGAGGATCCCGGAAATCAAGAAAATCTTGGAAGGAATTCCAATGGATGAGTATGTGGAAAAGCACAAAAGGGTTATGCAGGTGCAGAGGCATTTTGTGATCAATAGGCCTTCTCAGCCATTTGATTTACTGCATATGGTGCTTCATTCAGTTTGGATCAGGAGGCTTAATGTGAGGCTACCATTATGAAAGAACATTCATTTGATCACAATTCTGTTCTATGTAATTAATTTAAACACATATTATGTAGCTAAGTCTTTAAATATGTGAGATATGAAGATAAATGTTTTATGGACATAAGTCAAGGCTCAAGAAATTTCTTTTGGACTGTGGAAAAAAAAACATTAAAAACATAAACATTTCCTTCGCACAACATCATGTTTGCGAATTTGGCTAACACTGCAGAAAATATTATGTGCAAGCTTGCCCCGGCTTCGAGTCTTCGACCGTGTACCATTCGTGGATGGAAAGAAACCGCCGGAGCCTTCCATAAAGAGAATATCTTCACAAAACATGTCTTCGTCCTCCTCCGGAGGCCCCGATCAGCCAATTTCAGAGCTCCAGATGATGCTCTGTTTTTCCCTCTTTTTGAATTCGCCGGATTGCACAGTGGCAGTTATAACGGCTACTAATTACATATGGGCTGGCCCATACACCTTTTATAGGTGGTTGTATTGAGTAATGGTTTCGTTTTGGCCCACTTCTTTATATATTTTCTGATTTGCTTGACCTTTATAAAACAAACACTGCCCTTGTGAGTTTTACTACTAGCTAGCTAGTTTACCAAAATTTTCTTTACATAATTTCATTCAGAATTTGGGAAACTAGACACTTTCTAAATACCCAATTTAAAAACATTATGAGACCAAAGGGCTAAGGGCGGTGTTTATGATAAAACTAAAAATGAAGTACTGCAAAGCTGTCATGTTCGCAACACGCAACTTTTGACGAACCACTACGAATAAACCTGACCGAATCAAACTCTATCCAATTCAAATCCAATAATCTTAATTTATTTTGTATTTATTATTAATAGGATATATCCATTAAGGATATAATTTTTAATTAAAAATTTTCAATGCAATGATTAGGAAAAAATAGATAAGCGGGGAGAAAAATAAAATAAAATATGAACAAAAAATGTAAAAAATTAAGTCCAACTTTTATTTAAAAAAAAAAAATCAAAAAAGATTTTAATAATAGGAAAATATTATATCATTATAGCATTTTTTTTTTATCTCTTAATTGCTACGGACACGCACAGCTCGAACTCCCGACCTCCCACCTCCCTTTCCTACCGACCTCCCACCTCCCTTTCCTAGTACCACCAAACTACTAGCCTGTTTGTATTTATAAAATATAATATATTATACTATATCCAATCAGATTATTACCGGATCAAATTGAGCATAAATTATACTCTCTGGATTGTCCCAAAATAATTGTCCACTTTCTTTTTTCAAACAATATATTTTACATATTTCCATATACGTCTTTGGAGTTTAAAATTTCAAACTTAAAAGGGTAAATTAGTAATTATTTAAATCCCCTTCAAAATTTATACTCTCCAAAAGTGACTTTTTTTTGGGCCAGATGGAGCATCTGATGTTTAACTAAGCTAACAATTTACAGGAGTGAAGGATTTAATCCATATGCAAATTATCAGATGGGATTGGGATCAAAATCAATTGGCAGGTCTACTACTACTACTACCTATGAGTGAATTCAAATAAATGATAGAAAAACTACTAAAGTTTAATATAAAATAAAAAAATAAATATAAATAAATAAAACCCTCAAAGCAATAAGTAATGAGACCAAAGAGGCTAACCATACACTACCTGTGGAAGAGATTAGAAGGACCATCCTTTCACGTCCACCCCCCGAATGAGCTGGAATCAAGAAAAGCAAAAGACTAGTAAAAAAGGTTCAAGACACAGAATAAAGAGTGAACTAAGCAAAACTTTTTCTAAATGCTTTAATTAATAAACGGGGGGGAAAATTGCAGGAATATGGCACTTGCAACTGTTAATTCTATTGGACTTGCTTCCTCACACCCAATTACAAAAACACTACCCTTCCCATTTATCCGATTTCGTAGTAGTGCCCTTTCCCCACAACAAACCCAAAGATCCTACCAGCCAAAATGCCCAGACACAAAAGGTAGATAAAACCCCTCCGGAGACATTATCAAGCTCGTAATTGGTGTACAAGGCTGTGAAACATCACTGATAGCGAGGTAAAGGAGCGTTTGAACCTGGCTGGGGTTCAAGTATGGTTGAACCAGGGTCCGACAGCACCATTCATGTGCCCATTGCTGTGCATCCCGACGCCATTGGGGATGAGAGAAGAAGGCAACCCAACGGCCACTGAAGGTGGTGCAGCAGCATACAATCCATGAGTGTGTGGGATGGCGTGAGGGCTCACAAGGGGACTACCAACTGGATTCCCTTTACGCTGTTGGAGAGCATGTATTTGCCTGAGCCCTTCTTCATGGATGCGTGACAGTGTCTCCAACTCCTTCATTGATAGAGCTTCCAAGCCCGCACCATATAGAGGGGCATGTCGCGACATTTCTTCCTGAAGTGAGGTCTCAAGGGTGTGAATATATTGCTGCAAAGCAAAGAGGAGCATTAGTCGATTTTTCTTTCTTTATATTCTCCGTGACAGACAAATTTAGTGCATATGGATGCAAGCCAACACAAACTCACCTACAGAGTGATGCTGGGTGTACAACATAACATAGAAATTCGCAAAAAAAAAAAAAAAAAACAGTTTTACCAGCTCAAAGATCATGCGATGCCAATTACTAAATGCGAAACTGGGAACCAAAAAGAACAAGCTTAAATCAAAGAGACAGTTGACAGATGCGATCAAACAATTCACCACTGACTGAGAAAGTCAAGCAGCTCCTTCTCTTCTACACCATATTATTATTATTATTATTATTATTATTAAATCAAAGAGACAGTTGACAGATGCGATCAAACAATTCACCACTGACTGAGAAAGTCAAGCAGCTCCTTCTCTTCTACACCATATTATTATTATTATTATTAGCAGCAGCAGTAGCAGCAGCAGTAGCAGTAGCAGTAGCAGTAGCAGCAGTAGCAGTAGCAGTAGCAGTAGTAGCAGTAGCAGTAGCAGTAGCAGTAGTAGTAGTAGTAGTAGTAGTCAGTGTTAATAAGTCTGTCTATTAATTGACCAAGTGACCATAAATTATTCAACGTTACCCAACAGGTCCTACAAATTAAATAAGTCTATGCACTGGATGGCTCATATAATATAGTGGTTCTCAAGTAAACAGAAAGTCTGTTAACTGAAACAACTGATGAGGTCCAGCGGCTCCACTTCCTCTAAAACATATTAATCAAGGCTACCAACAGTTCTAACCAATTATACATAAAGTCTACGCCCTGGATGCTTGACATAATCCAGTGGAACACACATGTTCATTCAGAAAATCACTTTCAGAGAAGAAGTACTAGTATAAACAGTAAATCTAGATATGTGTATATCTACAAAAATTAGACACACAGAATTGTTGATCAAATTCAAGGGGCATCTCAAATGTCTGCCGCACTAAAAAACTCGGTAGATTATGGAAATACCAAAAGACATGAACTGTGTTAGAGGCAAAACCTGGCAGGCCTGCAATTTGGATTCCATCCCATCAATATATGCTTCACATCGAGCAACCTGTTCTTCCTTCTCACGCTTTTCCCCTTCAGTTTGCCCAACTGTTTGTGTCAACCGTCGAACTTCATCCTCAAGTGACTGCCGAATTTCTTCTCGAGTTACATTTTCTGTGGCATAGTGCTTCAGTTCTTCGTCAAATCTTTTCCGTGCAGCTTCAGCACTCTTTAATCTTTCTGCAAGAGCATTTTTCTCCTTCACGACTCTCTGGGACATTTACAGATGGTTGTCAATAAAGGTATTATCTCAACACCAATACCAAAGGCATGGCTTCAATAAAATTATGCAAAACAACTAGTCAACCAGTGCTAACCCTTCGACAGCAAATATAAAATGAAGTGAAAAAACCTATGTTGATGAAACTTGACAGTTCACAATTTCAATTCGCATGTATCAATAACATAAATCATCATTGCATCTCCCTGAAATTATGTTGTTGATTATTAATTACATGCTTCCAAAAAAGAAAAAGAATAAAAGAAAAAAGAAAAAACAATAGCACTTCAAAGCAATGCTTGAGTAACATGAAAGGGAGAATTCCAGAATTAATTAAACAAGAAACGACCTGTATAACAACAGTTTCCATTTTCCAATGATCAAAACTAAACAATTAAGTTTAAAGTTTAAGAAAAGTGCTCATAAACAATCTAAGGGAAAAGTTGATTAAGACGTTAATCAACAGTACTGTCAGTACGTGATGCTGGAACAAAATTTTCAATAATAAACAATACATGGAGAGAGAAAAGATAAGGAAAGATGTCCAAGTAGAGTGAGATCAGGGAAGAAAAAAGAGAGACGAGAATAAAATGAGATATAGAAGAGAACACGAGAGGAAATTTTCCAACTTCACACCATTGCTAAAGACTATTTCTTTTTTGCTAAAGAAGATTGCAAAAACACCTTCTAAGTCTTTCAAACCATAAAGGGGATGGGAGGGATGTAGAAAAAGAGACAGATTTGAAAATCCAATATGGGTGTGTGTGTGTGTGTGTGTGTGTGTATATGGACGTAAATTCTATTACTAAAGACATATACAATTTCCAAAAAAAAATCATAAAATCTTCTAATGTTAGTCAACAACCAACGTTTATAAAATGTCATGTTATATTCACATTTGAGTGCATCAACATCCCCTTATTGGAGGAAACTCAACCTCGTGTTTCATTGTGCTTTTTAGATTGAAAAACTATGTGAAAGTCCGAAAGAATGTTTTACCTCGACAGCTTCTTCAAAAACCTATTACCACATGAACTAGTACCTCATAATCAATCCACAACCCAAGTTGAGTTAGAAGGAACTTTTGATGTGTAATCTACATTTTGATGCTCTAGCTAATATCTTCAAATAAAAAGCTGTTGTAAAATACCAATTTGATGCATCTTCTGCCACGGTGTCTTAAAAGAGGAACATATATTTCTTTATGGGTAAATAAAGAAGAAACATATAGAATGAAAAGAGAAAAAAGAAGACAAGATAGGAGGGAGCAGAAATAAGAAAAGATTCCCAGGGAGAGGGAGAAAATGGAAGACGAGAAAATAAAGGTCAGAGCAATGCAAGGGAAAAAAATATCAATATGACCATCATATTGAGCTTGCAAAATATGGAGTTATTGATGGAGATATGAAGTTAATGAAATCATTATGGAAAATGGCGGAATCAATAGAAAATATGGAAATATTCAAGCATATATAAACAAGAGATGATTATTAAATCAGTTCAATAAGTCAATCCTTACCATTATTACCAATATTTTTGCTATAAAATAAGCCTAAATTTTAAGTTTTCCTTTTTTATCTCTAAGCTTAATTCTTTTTGCCCCTCCACCCATCAGTTTCATATTAACTACTCTTAAACAAAAAAGTATTGGATAAGAATATAGATCATATGTTCTATGTAATATATTTTATTTTAAAAGTAAATCTTACACTTTAGTTTTTACATGTTTACAAAAAATAAAAACATTTATTAAATAATATAACAAATGATATTATTTCTCAGGTATATAAGATAATGGGAATATTGCATGTGTTATATTAATAGAGTTTATTATAATGACTGTGACTTCTATAGGTAAAAAAAGAATTTTCAATGAAACTAATGCGATCTTATTTTTACAAGTAAAATTCAATAAAAAATGCTCAAAATGGGAGCGCTCCCAAAAGAATACAAAAAAACACCCACGGGGACAGTATAATTGATGTTGTAATGATCCACTCCACCACATGGTATGATATTGTCCGCTTTGGGCCCGAGTTCGCACGGTTTTGCTCTTGGATTCTATCCTAAAAGGTCTCATACCATTGGAGTGTGTACAAATCCTACATATATAGTACTTCCCCTTTTCACACCCAAGCGATGTGGGATTGTGCACATATAACTCGTCCAGTGTGGTAGCTTGCCAATGCCTCTTGCACCCGCCCACAAGATCACCACAGATTTACATCTCCTCCCATTAACCCAGAAAAATAAAGTAGACATTATATTTTATTTGAGAGACCAAATAAGAAATTCCTCTCCATCGAAAGATCTATGCATTCACATTGTGAAATGTGCCTCGATATTATCAAAATATATGATAAATTGGCATTAAAATAAAGGAATCTAGCAAATGTCCGAGGTTACCAGAATATCACAGCAATATATCAATCAGGTCCATATATCCCACGATAAAATACTTAAATCATGCTTCAGATAAATTTCCATTACAAGACTGGATGATATGCATTATATTGGTCAATATCTCATCTGTAAGGATCATGGATGGACAATGATAGGGATGGCAATTCATTTTACCTTATCATGTTCGTATCATGTCAAGACATGAGTATGCTATTATATTATTGACATAAACATGACACAACTATTATTAGTATCAAGAAATCTTGGCAAGAACACTACTTATTTATTAAAAAGGTAACACATTACAACTCATGTAACTTGTTTAATAAGTATGTTGAAACCTCTCACAACACATTAGGACACAACCAGGGCTGTAAACAAGCCAAGCTTTTGACAAGTAGCTCGAGCTCGGCTTGTTAAGGGCTCGGTTCATGTTCGTTTGTTTAATAAACAAACCAAGTCCAAACAGAATTTGTGTGTTTGATTAATAAGTGAACCAATCTCAAACACTCCTCTGCTCGACTCGTTAATGTTCGTGAACAAGCTCGCTTATATTAAGCTTGTGTGTGTATATATATATATATTATAACTTAATAAGTTTGGACCCTACCTTTTCATTTTAACTTAGAAGTTTTAACCCATCCAAACCCCACCCAATCCAATCCAATCCATATAAATGTAATACCAATCATTTAAAAATTAAAAAAGACTAAACCCAATCAATTTGAAACAAGCCAAACCCAAGCCCACACTCTGAAGACCATCTATATAAATCCTTTAACCCTCATGTCATCCCAACCCTAGCTGCAGTAGCTGCGACTTCAACTTCTCTTTCACATACGCTTCTCTAGTCTCTCAATCCAATTCAGCTTGTTTTATTTCAACAGCTGCTCCTCCTCATCACTTCTACAGTTTTACAGGAATGATTTCACACCCACAAGATGTAAGTTTTCACACACACATATATATATATAGATCTATATAAGTTTGTACTCTAATTTATATATATTTTTTATTTCATTCCTTCAGTATCAGCGAAAGTGTGGCGGAAGAGACAGGAGAAGGGACCACGAGTAAACAATAAACAAGCTTTTCTGGGCAGGAAAAAAAAAAAAAATTAAACAAGGTTTTAGCTAGGCTCGAAGCCCGAACACTGGTGTGAGCTCGGCTCGAGCTCGAGCCGAGCTCAAACACCCTATTTTAACAGCCAAGCCAAGCCCAAACAGCCCACTACTCGGCTCGGCTCGTTTACAGCCCTAGACACAACAGGAAACAACATGACACAACTAAAATTCTATACTATTAGGATCATTTATGACTTGTTAAATTTAATACCTTAAGAATTAAATATCAATTTTTTATGTATTATTATAACCTTTTACAACATCACATGCTTTTTCTTGTTCAAAGACAAAAGAATAAATAGTTTCATTAATTCTTGAAAGTGGAACAATCAAAATGGATCAGAACAACTAGTTCGAAAGGAAATCATAGATGAGGGATAGGGTTTTGATGTCAGCGTTCAAAGAAGAAACAATAATCCAAGCCTGTTGAAATCACAGATCAGGATTAGGGTGATGTTGGTGTCAAAAGAAGAAAATATTATAGCAAAATATATATGTCCAAAAGAGAGACAGGAGAGGAAAGAGACCACTACTTCCAAACAAGCCTTCATCACCGATCAGTTCCACCATATGAAAGAGAGAGAGATTCAAATATCTCCATGATCTTATTAATCAATAATTCGGATAGCTACAACTCAACAATAGACGGGATCAACGAATCAGTGGGTTGCCTTTTATTTGATATCGACAACGACGGCTTCTACTGGTAGTCAAAAGAGCAATGAATCGGTTCGTTCTCACGTCTTAAGTGTCTAAAACGAGTAGTTGAATGAACAAAATTGGCGACATATTATTCCTAGCATATTACTTTCTAAAGAAGTTTAAATGGGTTAAATGGATCAATTTGTATTCATGATAAACAGGTTGAAGCCCCAAATATATAGTGTCAATTCAGGTTGACACGATTACAACCCGAACAAAAGTAACTTAACCACAAACCCACGTATTTCGTGTTGGGTTCGTTGTATCAAGTATAGCCACCCCTAAGAGACAATAATAGAAGAGAGAATTAGAGCAAAAGCAACATCAAAACCTCTCAACCATAAGCAGATAAATATAAAGAGAAGAAGAAGAGGAGGAAAAGGTAGCTCAAAGTTCATCAAACTCCATTCATCCTCATGAACAATATCATTTTACATCCATAATGCCTATTTAAAGACTTGTGAAAACCCCAAAAATCAAGAATACCTTATAAAGCTAATCCCACCAAACATATAACAAAATTCATTTACTAAAACCATTAAATCTTTCAAATATAAAAAGAAAATGGTACAGTGAGATCTCACCAAATAGCATTTGAGGGCCAACATCAAATAGCGTTTTCATTGTACCTCAGTTTCACTCATTTCTCACTCAACTCATCAAAAGCCTTTTTCCTAACTACTGGAGTTGACAACATGAATCCTATTTTTTCATTCTGCTCTATCTGAGGCCATAACATCAGTAAAACCACGTGTAATTTGC